AATGTGCCCGAACATCCGTCTGCCTTCAATGTGAAAATTAATTTGTTCTCTCAAATGGCAAAGCAGGATTTAATTTTTTTTTTTTTTTCACAAAACACCAAACTGTAATTTTCCCAGTTTTCAGCTTTCAGTTTGCAGAGTTATCGCCTGACATATTTGAAATACAATTTTCAAAGCGTCTTTAAAAAAAATTATTTTAAGGCTCAAGGCAAACTAAATATGTTGGACTTGTAAGTGAATAATTGAATTTTTCTTCAAAAATTTAATGAGATTGGGGATGAGTTTATGTTTCCCTGGGCTGTGGATTGGTGACTTTGTAATGCTGTTGGACACTTGGGAAAATCTTTTTTTCCCCTCTCCTGTGACCCATAATTAATGCATATTCTTATAAATCCTGTCTCGTTGAGCAATTTACCTTGACTCACAGAATTCCAGTGTTTCATCTGTTTTAGCCAGGGGTGAGTCCAAGCAATAATCACTATTTTTAGTCCATTTTTTCCCAATGCAGCCCCTCCTGCGGAGCACCTTCCTCGGAAGATCCCAACCTCAGTGCGTGACTGAGGCTGGGAAGGGATTTGTGGGATGCTCGGAGTTTTGGAGGTAGGAATGGGAACAAGAACCCCTTTTTTCTGCTCCCTGCCTTCAGCTCCAAAGATTCCTGCAAAAGAAGCCCCCAAGGACAGGAGGAATTACAGACTTTGGTTCTCTTCCCTGCTCGCTGCTGCCTTCCAGTGCTCCCCAGCCCTGCCTGAGGCAGGGAGTTGCATTTCCCAGCCCACAGGTTTGAATTCCTCTTTGTGCAGCACAGGTAGAAGGGGAAGGTGACTTTGGGTGGCTGTTTCCTCTTGTTCCAGAGATGATCTCGGGGATGAGGCCGTGCCTGGCAGCGGGGCAGGGAACGTGTCCTGCTGCACGTCCCTGATCCCGCACCAACCATTCCGTGTTCCCGGTCACTCCTCGGGAGAAGGAGCACAATTCCCTGGCCTCACACAGCCAGAGCACAGGCAAAGGAGGGAGCTGGAGCACCTGGAGGTGCTCAGGAGCTCCTGTTTCCTGAGAAGTTCACTCAGCCATGAAATGGAATGAGATAATGCTCAGGGAACAAGTGGGTTCAAGTGGGGCCGTTTGTCCTGCGGGGTCTCGTGGCCGGGTTTTTGTAAGACAAAGGATGGGGATGTTTGCCCAGGGATGGGCACAGGCTGCAGCTGCAGGGCAGGATCCCACAGGCTGTGTCATCCTGGCCTGGCACAGCGGGCCCTGACATCAGCATTCCCAGGAAAAGGGTGCAGATTTGGGAGGGAACAACCCCAGTTCCTGTGGCCCAGTGGAGCCTTTGGGAGTGCACCCAGTTCAGAGAGGATTTGGGGGAACGGATCCAGCTCTTCCTGACAGAGTGGGCACGGCAGAGGTTGATATTTGGAATATTGCTTCATTTTCTGACGTGGCCTCCGAGAAAGTTCCTGGCCAGCTCAGCCAGTGTTTCTGGGAATCGGGCAGTAAATCCAAGGTCTGTGTGCCTGGCTCCATCACATTCCCACTCGGGAATTCTCAGCACCCCTGTGGGATGGAGGCTGCTCCACCTCCCACCCCAGCTCCTCTGTTCTGTACTCCTTCCTCCTGCAGGAATAAGAGTGTGTGTGCATTGGCTCCAGAGCAGGCAGAGCCCTGCTCGTGCCAGGAAGGAAAAATTTCCTTTCCAGTGGCAGCCAGGGAAGGCATTTTTAGAGGATGAGAGCACATGGAATCTCTGGATGTGCTCTGGGATGCAGGATCAAAACCCACCCGTGTATGAATTGCACGTTAAATGTCAGGAGAGTTGTTGGATCTCTTCTTTCCTCCTGCACAGCACAGCCTGGATGACACTTTTCAAAATAAGGGGTATTACTGTGATTAATTATGATTATTGTGATTATTCATTGGTTATCCTATGGTCCCATTAAGGATCCCTCTTCTGGACGCCCCTCATTAACCTGCACAAGTACACAACAAAAAAAGGTGATTCTTCCTCTAAAAATCCTTTCCAGCCTTAATCCTGGAGTTAAAGACAGATTTCCACAGGGAAAATTGGGGATTTTAAAGGGGAGAATTATTGCTGGGAAAAAAATGTCTTGGCAAAAGGAAGCTCCCGAATTCTCTGTGAGGTGCCCGCGTCCCCTTCAGCAGGCGCAGCTGAGTGCTCGGTGTGTGCCTGCATTATCCACAGCTGCACGTCTGCTCTCTTCACAGGAGCCCCCCGTGCTCATGCTGCCTCCCAAGCTCCTGATTTCAGCTTTCTCTGCTCCCTTTCAACCCAAATCCTGGCAGCCAGAGGGGAGAAAGTCCAGAGCTGAATGAACACAGAGCGATTTCGGGTGCCAGGGCCAGCCAGCGGGGTTGGGGTGCTGCTGGGGACAGCTGCTGGCTGCTGTGACAGTAAAGGCTTGTTCCCCTGGCACTCCTGCAGCTGGTTTGGAACACAGCAAAATAGGGGACGTGGCGTTGGGGGCGGCTTGGTGAATGAAGATGAGCATCAATGATGGCCCTGCCCGCCTGGCATTCATGAATCGCCTTCCCCTGGAGGCCTGGAAGGCTCCAAAGCTCGCTCTGAAGTACCTAGTCTGAGTTATTTTTGCTCGGGGTTTTTGCACTGTTTTCTTTCCTCAAGTTGCTGGGTGAAAATAAAAGAAGAAATCGAGAAGTGAGCAGAAAAGGCAGCACAGGTGATGATCCCCACAAAGGGATTCGTGGAGTCACGGAATATCTGAGCTGGGAGGGACACACAAAGATCCTCGAGTCACATTTGGGACAGAAATGATGTCATTTGGTGTCCTAATCAACTGGTTTATCACATGTTTTTCTTTCTAGCCTGAATCATCTTCCAGGAAAGCCAGGAAAGGCTTCCACTGCCTGTTATGTGAATTGAGTCCTTTTTAGTTTCACACATTTCTGCTGGTTTAGGCTTAAAATTTACAGCTTGTCCTGGTGGAAGGTGCTCCTGGTCCACGATGTGGCACCTCTCAGTGACCCTCGGCAACGAAAACCGACCCAGCTCAGCATTCCCCTCCCAGCCCCAGTTATTCCTCCCTTTTTGCTAAGCTTTAGCCTAAACCCTCCACTTTCCCGCAGTAATTTCCTCAATTATCCAGTTTGTTTTACAGACACCCCCTTTTAATGTGGAATTTGCTGTAAAAAACCCCACAAAGGAAACCATTAGCTCCCATCTATTTCAATTTTCCTCTCCAAACCTCGTGGTGGCCGATCCAGAGCTGCAGTATTCCAGTGGCCTTTAACAAACAGCTGATTTTCCCTTCCCTATACAATGCACCATTATGTGGCATTTTTTCTATTTTTTTTTTCCTACGGAGAACAATGCGAGCAGCAGTGATGGGAAACTGGAAAAACAAAAGGGGCATTTAGAAGGGACTGGTTTAGAGGCTGGGAAGTGTTGAATAACGTTACACCTGATAGCAGATGCTTTCTCAGCGACCAGCACCGAGGTGTTTACTAAGGGGATACTCAATGTATGTTTACGCTCAAAAATGCTATTTATGAACTCCACACAGCCAGATGTTTTGATGTCTGTAAATTATTTAAAGTAAAAATCATGGTGGCATCACTAGCAGTGAATTTAGAGGGGATTTTAGGAGGAAATCCTTCCCTGTGAGGGTGGAAGGGGCTGGGATGGAATTCCCAGAGAAGCTGTGGCTGCCCCTGGGTGTCCAAGGCCAGCTTGGATGGGGCTTGGAGCAACCTGGGACAGTGGAAGGTGCCTAAAATTGGAACTGGATGAGCTTTAAGGTCCCTCCCAACCCAAACCATGCTGTGATTCTATGAGGAAAACCTGAGGAATTGAACTTAAATGCACTTAAATTCCCCAGTCCAGGCAGGGTCACCTGGAGCAGGTGACAGGAACATGTCCAGGTGGGTTTGGGATGTCTCCAGAGAGGGAGATCCCCACCCTCCCTGTACCACAGCCCTGCCACCTCCACGCAAACCAGTTTTTCTGTAGATTTAGGTGGAATTTGTTGTGTTGGTCTGTCCTGAGCTCAGCCAGTCTGAGCCTGGTGCTGACAGCTCCAGGGTTGTGGATTCAATGTGAGCCATTCACTGAAGGGACTCGATCATCCTTGGGGATCCCTTCCAAACCAGAATATTCTGCGATTTGGATTCTGATTTACCTCGGGGAATCTCTCCTCATCCTGTCACTGAGCACCACCGAACAGAGCCCGGCATCATCCCCTAAAACCCCTTGGAAATATCCGGCTCCACCGGATCGCCTCTCACCTTCCCTCCTCCAGCCGGCCCCGGCTCCCGAGGCTCATCAGAGACGCTCCAGCCCTCTCACACCTCCACAACCACGCCGACCGCTTACTTTATTTTATTTTTAAATAAAATTTTGCATTTTCTCTCCAGTTAGCAGAGAATTCTCCCTGTTTTCCCCCTCCCCGCCGTGTCCCCTCACGTCCCACTCTGCCGGGCCACACATGCTCGCTGTGCCCGACACGGCAGCCCTGCTTTGAAGAGCATTCTGTCAGTTTCTCCCCATTTCTGCCAGTTTCTCCCCATTTCTGCCCGTTTTCTCCCCGTTTTACCCCATTTCTGCCAGTTTTGCCCGGTTTTCTCCCCCTCCCCGCCGTGTCCCCTCACGTCCCACCCCGCCGGGCCGCACACGCTCGCTGTGCCCGACACGGCAGCCCCGCTTTGAAGATCATTCTGTCAGTTTCTCTTAATTTCTATCAGTTTCTCTCAATTTCTCCCCATTTCTGCCCCTTTTCCGCCCGTTTTACCTAATTTCTGCCTGTTTTGCCCCGTTTCTCCCTGTTTTCTCCCCCTCCCCGCCGTGTCCCCTCACGTCCCGCCCCGCCGGGCCGCACACCCTCGCCGTGCCCGACACGGCGCCGCCGCTTTGCAGCGCATTTCCCCCGTTTTCCGCCCGCTTTTCCCCATTTCTGCCCGTTTTTCCCCAATTTTTTCTCCCGTCCCCGCCGTGTCCCCTCACGGCCCGCCCCGCCGGGCCGCACATGCTCGCTGTGCCCGACATGGCGGCTCCCAGCGCGGGGCTGCGCCAGCGCCGCCCGGGCCGGGCCGGAGCCCCCGCTGGAGCTCCCGGAGCGGCCCCCGCTGCATCCCCCGAGCCCGGGCTCGCTAGCGCGGCCCCGCCGCTCTCCCCGGGCACCTTCTGGCTGACCCGCATCGTGCTGCTGCGCTCCATTGCCTTCCTGTACTGTGAGTGCCGGGCGGGCGCTGATCCCCCCGCGGGGTCCCCGAGTGGTGCCCGGGGAGCGGCTGCAGCTGAGCCAGGGAGGGCTGCGGGAGAGCAGGGAGAGGTTTTCCCATCCCCCGAGGGTGGTGGGGCACTGAGCAGGCTCCCCAGGGAAGGAGCACAGTCCCAGAGCTGCCAGAGGAGCCCTTGGACACCGCTGCCAAGCATGTGGTGACATCCTTGGGGATGTCCCGTACAGGAATAGCGGATCCTCGCAGGACCCTCCCGCTTCAGAATAGTCTATGATTTTATGATCGTTGTGGGTCCTCTCCAGCTCTGCCTATGCCATGATTCTCTTCTTTCCCAGTCCCACTTTCCTGATGGACAGGGGATGGCTGGATGGGGTTGGTGATGCTGGAAGCTGGTGGAGCTGGAAGGAGAGCTTTGCTCACACCACGAGGCTGGTACCTCTCACCAGAGCTGTTCATCCTTTCCCCTGAAGTTGCGAGCTCACAGTGCAAGAGAGAAACTCTTTGTCTTGTGCAGCAGCAGGACTGCAGGGACAGATGCCATCCCTGGGTGCCAACACCACCAACAGCCAGGACCTAGAGTCAACATGACCTTAAAATATTCCACAGTGGAAGCAGTTTCCAGCCTCTGCCGTGCTCGTTTGCCTCTCGCTTTGGCACTGAGAGCTGTGCTCAGAGCCCACTGGTGCTCCGCTTAAAAATATTTACAGTGAAACCAAAACTGACAAGTAACACACTACGGTACAAATTCTAAACTTGCCCCAGATTTGTCCACAGAATCGTTAGAATTTGTAGCCTGCCAGCCTGCTTAGATTATTTTGCATCAAAACCATGCAGAAGTTGTAGTTTCGTATGGCTTTGACACGTGCTCTGGTTCTAGTTTGGTTTCAGCTCTCGGTGAAATGCGAGGTTATGACTCTTTCAGTCAAAATGAAAGCGATTCCGATATTCCCCCGTGTGTAAATCCAGGCTGCTGAGTTTCCCGTGGCTCGGTTTGCAGTTTCCTTATGAAAAACTGATTAGTGCTCTCTGCTGTGCCTTCGGTGGAGGCCGCTGCTGCCCGGGGTGGCTTTGGGGTGATAAATGTGCCACACCTGGGAGCAGAGGGGGTGCGGGGGTGGGAAGGGAGCTGGGGCTGCCTGCAGAGGTGGGAATCGGTGGAAATCAAAGGGGTGGGACCTCGTGGTGAGTGGGACACCTGGGACAACGAGGTGGGGAACAAGGATCTGCTTGGGGGTCAGGTGAGTTACAGGTGGAAGTGATTGAAACTGATGGGCTGCAGGAGAGAAGGAGGCTGGCAGGGGCTGAGCCACAGGGTGAAGCTGAGCGTGCAGGTCGGTGAGTAAATATGGGGTGCTAAAAAAGAGGGAGAATGCTTTGTGGTGGTTTTTCAAGCGGGAGAAAGCATTGGGAATGGCTGAAAGTTGGGAGGAGACCCCAAAATGCCTCTGTAGTGTGGAGTAAGGAAACCTTTTGGAGGGTGGGGTGGCAGAGGGAGAGTTTGGGGTACTGAAGCTGGAAGGAGCAGGGCTTTGTGTCCCTTCTTAAAGGAAGAGGTGCAGAAGAGGAAAAGTTCACCTGCTTGTTGTGCAACTTGTGCTTGGCTGCATTCGGGCCCAGGGGAGTTCTGCTGGTTTGGGGTGAGCCAAATGAGCCAAGCCAGGAACCTAGGCCTGGTTTGAGCCAGGTCAGATCCCTGCAGGCAGCTGTGCTGAGGCTGGCAGTGCAGGAGAGGTGCCCCACAAGGATTTGTGGGGTGGAAAGTGCTCGTTGTGTGTGAGCTGGAGAGGTTGTGAGCAGGCAGATTCCCCCTGGATGCTCCAGTGGGAAGGAGGGTTTGCCCTTTGATCTCTTTGGAGTGCCTGGCTTTGGAAACAGCAGAAAACAATTCCGTGCCTCTGTGCCAAGCTGCTCTTGCAGGTTTTTTTCTGGAGATGGAAGCATTTACTGTGACAGCTGATTTTTCTCCCAGACGCGGCGATTCCGCGCGCGCCGAGGCTCAGACTCGCTGAGGAGACGGTTGATGCCGTTGTGACAGTTTGACATTCCTCAGCCGTGGGATGTTTTCCCCCCTTCTTTCATTTCACCCTTTTATGTGTAACCCTTTCCTTTCGGGGGGGATTTGTGCTAAGGTGTCGGGGAATGTGGTCAGGGCTCAGCTCTGGGAGCTGAGGGATTGTTCCACTCCTGGGTGGGAGAGTGAAGAACCTTGAGGATGAGGTGGAGAGAAACTCAATTTGGGGTGTGCAGTGACCCCAAAGTGTGCTCTGAGGGCTTGTCACCTCCTTCCTGCCCCCACCCCATTCCCAAGGGGGTGTTCATTGCCTGCTGCAGGTACGGGAGATGTTTTCCCAAGGATCTGCCTGCGTGGAAGGAGGACAGGCAGAGCAAGGCAGGTGTGGAGTGTCCTTCTGTGTGCCCTCCCTTCTCCCCCTTTGCTTGTAACAACTCTGCCCTTTTTTTTTTGTGTCTTTTGAAGGGGTTTTCCAGAAGCAGCCCGAGCCTGGGAAGTCCCTGGCAAAGCAGCTGCTGAGTGAGAGGCAGGTTGGAGATGGGAGAAGATCTGAGGATTTGGAGAGGTCAGAGAGCAACCCCACCTGCTGCTGGCAGGGGTGGGAGGGCAGGGAAAGTGCATCCAGCTGAAGGGGCTCTGGGAGGTTTGGTCCTTGCAGCATTGTCCCGTCCCTCTCTCCCTTGGAAATGGTCTCTGTGTGTTTCCTGGTGGCTCCTGCAGGTCCTGGAAGGCCACACTGAGGTCAGCCCAAAGCTTCTCTCCAGGTGAACAGTCTCTCCCAGCTGCTCCATCCCTCTGCTCATCCTGGTGCCTCCTCTGGGCTCTCTGCAGGGTCCTCCCTGTGCTGGGACCCTGGAACTGGGGGCAGCTCTGCAGGTGGAGTCTCACCCGAGCAGGACAGAGGTTTGGCCAGATGTCACTTGGAGATTTGCAGCTTTTCCATCCTGGTCTTGCCCTGTGTGTGTTCCCTGTGACAGGGATCAGTGTTTTGGCAATCCAGAAATATTTTGAGGTCTTGTTGGAAGGGCTCTTACAGGTAAATAGCTGGTCCCAAAGCTCTTGACAACAAATGTGCATTTTTTTGCTCCCTTCACCCTCCTTCTAAATCATTTTAAGTGCTCTTTTTGGGTGATTACCATCATCAGATTCCAGCTGTAGAAATCTCAGTAATTAGATACCACCCTCCCCAATCTCAGCCAGGCTCTGTGGAGAGCTTTGAAATAAAAGCTATTATTTAAATCCAGTTTATCTTTCTTCTCCTTATGTATTGTTTAATAGTATTTTCTTTCCCCAGCGCCAGAGCTATGGGAGGTTCAGGCTCCTTCTTCCTAAATCTGAAATCCAAAGCCCTCTCGGGGGGTTTGGCTTCCTGTAGGCTCCTGGCTCTCCCCGGTGTCCTTCCTCCTCTCTTTCTCTGCCATCTCCCCTGCTTTCTCTTCCCTCAGCTTTATTCAAAGGCTCCCAGTAGCTCTCAGCCTGCCTGCTCAGGATTAGAGAACATCTTCAGACACTTTTGCTGCCCTGAGAGGTTTTATTGCAGCTCGGTGCTCCTTGGCAGGGCTGTGCAGCACCAGCAGAGCATCACCCTGGGTGCTCTGAGCAGCTGCATCCCCCTGGAATGGGAATAAAAAATAACAAAGGTGGAGAAGGGAATCTCTCTCCCTGTCCTCTCCTTGCCCAATGCCCCTCTGGAGCAGAGGGATCTTCCCAGGGCATCCTCCAGCTGCAGGCTGGGGTGGTTTTTGCAGAGCCAAAGGGAAGCTTTTTCTATTTCCACAGCTTTTCAAACAAGGAGGCAACAGAGAGATAAAACTTAAAAACCCCTGAGCAACCACCCAAAGTCTTCAGCTTGGCCGTGAAAGGCAAGAAAGCAAAAAAGGTGTAAAAACCAGAGCACTTTGTTGTGTGTTTTTTGTGGGTGTTTGGCTTCACCCTTTTGCTCAGTGCTGTGGTGTTGTGCTTCTGTGTTGCAAAACTTTGCAGGGGAATTCATCAATTGAAAACTTATTTGATTCATTTCTCTGGTAATAAAATACCAGGAATATTCTGCTCTTTCTTCTCTCCAGCAGTGCAAGCTCAGCTTGCAGCATCCAGCTCAGGGCCTGTTCAAATGCCTCGTTGGGTCAAAGGGGCACTTGATAAACTGCTCCAGGCAGAGTTTTTGTGTGTGTGCAAAATGTAGTTTGGTTTTCAGGCAAAGCTCTGTGCTCTTGGTTCAGTTCTTCTTGTGGTTAGGGCATCAAGGAAAAGTTAAGACTTCTTTTAACAAGAAGGGGGGGAAGACAGAAAAAGCCATATGACCGGAAAGTTTTGGATTTCACATCTTTAAATCTTTCCTGAGCATGAAAAATGGGATTCTCTCATTCTCCCACCATGACAGGCTGAGCCTGGACTGAGGGAAAGGAGCTGAGGTGCCAGGGAAATCTGGATGGAGCGAATCCCTTGGATGGGGACGCTTGGGTGGTGGTTATTGGTACCATGTGGGGTTGAACACGCTGGGTTTGGGGGGAGAGGGGAGGCTGGGAGGGGAAGGAGAAGGTGGAGAGGGGGGGAGTTAATGGAAAAGTACAGTGAAGCACCTTCCGAGGTGAGGATAAGTAGGGAAGGTCTATTAGCAGCCCTGGTAATTTGCATGTATTATGTAAAGCTCAGCTGGCAGCAGGGAGAGCTCCCATGTGAGCTGTCAGAGGCTCTGCAGTGGGAGGCAGCCCCGGAGCTGCTCCGTTCCCTCCACCTGCACAGCCCCAGGAATGGCACCTCCAGGTGGAGCAGGGCACTGGGCACTCCCACGTCCTGGAATTGTCCGTGAGGAGCACGGGCAGTGAGCTCTGGAGGGTGCAGAATCCCAGGGAAAAGCTCCAGGAGCAAGGGGAGGTGGGTCAGTGTGCCCCAAGCCCAGCAGGGTGGTGGTGCTGCCAGTCAGTGCCCACAGTGGAAGCAAAGTTGTTTGAGCTGGAGGATGCAGGGTGAAAAATCCCCAAACACGAGGCCACAGGGAGAGAGGTTCCAGAATAAGGATTAAGGAAGAGGAAGGAGCACAGGCTTTGGGGGAAAAGGGACTTTTTTACCCCCTGAGCAAGCCATGGTCGAAGGGAAGGTTCCTGGAGAAGGCAGCAGGGTCTGTTACACTGAATTTAAGGCTCCAGTTTCTCTGGGCTTCAGGGAGAGGAAGCAATGACAAGCTGATAAATAACTTCCCTTTTTCCCTCCTGGATCTGGGCATCTCCTGTGCTGCTGAAATCCTCTGCAGTCTCTGTCTTTGGTTTCAGCTCTTGCCGTGCCCAGCAGCACAGGAGCTGCTGCCTGAGGGGGAAACCTCGGGAGATGGAGCAGGGATGGCTGGAGGTGGGAGCTGAGCCCATCGCAGAGATGCTGGGGATGGGTGGAGAGCGAGCCTGGAGCGATCCGAGCCTGAGCGTGGGGAGTGTCCAGGAGAGGGAGCTGGATCCGGGCTGGAGCTCTGGGAATGCCAGCATCACCTGGCCGGGTGTGGATCAAACCCAGGGGGAACGCTGCGGTTTGCTTTGGGCGAGGTGAATCCTCCCAAAATCAGGGCTGGTGCTGCTGGGTTTCCATCGTGGCTGCTGCTGGGTTTCCATCGTGGCTGCTGCTGTGGGAAATGGATGTCCTGGGAGAAAACCCCTTTGGAGCCCGAGCTGGGCCACCCAAAATGTGCATTTCATGGCAGCTCCAACCCATTTTTTGCTGCCTGCAGGCTCGGAGAGGCTGAGCAGGATTTTGTCCATCCAATGTGCACTTTGCTGGAATTGCTGGTGTTTGTTTTTCCTAATTTACCCTTTCCTTGTTTGTCTCGTGCGCGGCGCAGGGGTCTAATTTGGACTTTTTTTAGGCAAAAACCTGCTCAGCATTTATGGGTTGGGGCAGCAATTCTGGAGCATTTAGAGGTGAATTTGATTAGCACTTTTAGAAAACTGTGCAGCAAATTGCAGTGCTAATCACGGGAAATCAAGCCACGGAGTTTTAAGGCAGAACTGGCTTTCAGTTGGCTTTTTTAGGGCCAAAATTGAAAATATTAAGCTGTCTAAAGCTCAGAAGAATTTTATTTCTGCTAGTTTCATGTCAGGCTTTCTGATGACACAGCTATGCTGAGCTGAGTGTTGGTAGAAAAACATGGATAAAACAGAAAACACTTAACTTGTGTCCCAGAACTGATCCTGTGGTGTTTGAATCAGCTTTCCTCATGTCTCTCCTTATCCATAATTGAGTAAAATAATTGAAGAAAAATGTCTTTTATTTGTAAAATCATTCACTGTGTAGAAAAGATGGATGGGAAGAGACACAACCCATTAACTCCCAATTTTATTGTGCCATCCCTGGGGTCCAGGATCTTCTGGAATCAAAGGGAACCCTCCCAGTGACCTCTGCTGTGTGCTGCTGATGACTTTTAGTGGTTTTTAAGTGAGAATAAAACCCATGGCTGTGCGCAGAGAGCTGGGGGAGCGTTAAGTGGATTAAGTGGAACCCACTGGAGACCTTTGTCTGGGGAATGGGACTTTCAGTCGGATTCCCTGGGGCTGCAGACTTTGGGTTGCTGCTGCAGACTTCAAAGAAATGGGAATTTGGGCTCTGATTTCACACAGCCTCTCCCCCAGCGCTCCCAGTGAGAGACACCAGATGAACACCAGGGTTGTTGTTTGCAGAATGCCAGCATTGAGATAAGGAAGGAAACAGATTTGATCATTAACCGAGGAAGATTGGGGAGGGGAACAAATTGGCTTTTTGCAGGAGCTCTGGTGCTGCTGCCCGTGACGTGGCTGGTGTTTGGGTAATGTTTGAAGGATGGGTAAATGAGTGGATGCAGCCTAATCAGGAAATGTTGGCCTTCCTCATTTTTTTTTTTCTCTCTGAGACATGGAGATTACTGGAGTTACAAACTGCAAATTGGTAACTGCAGGAGATGCCTAAAATATGAGATAATGCCTAAAAACTGCCCAACTTTCTCTGTAGGACATCAAATGCTAGGTCTATGAGCTGTAATTAAATTGCTGATGTGCTGTTAAAAAAAGCAGCTGGCTGCTCTAAGAGTGTCCAGGGCTGGAGCAGAACTATAAATGGGACAGCTGTAAAGACATGGAAAAGTGGGAATTGAAGGGGTGGGAAAATGGTAAGATTTTGGATTCCCAACTTCCCAGGGTGTGAGAGGATGCAGAGGGTCAGAGCTGCTGTTCTGGGCAGTTGTGGGGTGAGCCATGAACTCAAAGAATTGAGGGTGCTTTGAGCAGCTCTGGGATCCTCAGCACAGGAAGGAATTGGAGCAATTCCAGAGCTGGAGCCAGGCTGGGAGAGCTGGGGGTGCTCACCTGGAAAAGGGAGAGCTCCAGGGAGAGCTCAGAGCCCTGCCAGGGCATAAAGGGGCTCCAGGAGAGCCTGAGAGGGACTGGGGACAAGGATGGAGGGACAGGACACAGGGAATGGCTTCACATTAACAGAGATTAAGATTAGGTGGGATTTTGGGAAGGAATTCTTCCCTGTGAGGGTGGGAGGGGCTGGGATGGAATTCCCAGAGCAGCTGTGGCTGCCCCTGGATCCCTGGCAGTGTCCCAGGCCAGGCTGGACAGGGCTGGGAGCACCCTGGACAGTGGAAGTGTCCCTGCCATGGCAGGGGTGGGATGAGAGGATCTCTAAGGTCCCTTCCCACCCAAACCATCCTGGGATTCTATGGACACCTCATTAATGGTGTAGATGAGTCTAAGCTGTCTCATTAACAATATTTGTTCTATGAAATGTTTTCAATACAAGGAAAAGATTCTGGTGCTTGATAGATGCCCTGTTAACGTTACATAAAGCTGGAGATCTCCTCCAAAGCCAGGATGGATTTATAGAATTCCTTTGCCTTCTCCATTGAGGTTCATAGAAACCACAGAATCCTGGACTGGTTTGGGTTGGGAGGGACCTTAAAGATCCTCCAGGTGCAACCCAGGGAACCTTTTGTTGGGCTCTGTAGTGACTGTGTTGGATTTTAATGGACATAAGGACTTGGGAATGAATTCCTTCCAAGAATGACCTCTGGATTCCAATCCTCTCCCTGACCCTGGCTGATTCCTCACACATTTTTCCCTCTCCTTGTTCCCCTGCAGTCGTGGCCTTCCTGGTGGCCTTTCAGCAGAACAAGCAGCTGATAGGAGAGAAGGGGCTGCTCCCCTGCAAGCTCTACCTGCAGGAGGTCAAGAAATACTTCAAGGGGGAGGTCGGCCTGGATGCCCTGAGCTATGCCCCCACTCTCATCTGGTTCCTGGACTGGTCTGCCATGGACAGCACCTTGGATTGCCTGGCCCTGGCTGGCCTGGCAGTGGCAGCCTTTGTGCTGCTGACTGGCTGTGCCAACATGGTCCTCATGGCCCTGCTGTGGCTGCTCTACCTCTCCCTGGTCAACGTTGGACAGATCTGGTGGGTTCTCAGTCCCTCTGCTCTGCTTTTCTCTCATGCTCTTTGTGGTACACTTTGATTTTAATTTGATTTTTTTCCTGGTGCAGTTTGGATTTCCAGTCCAGTTTGTGATTGCTCCTCACCAGATTATCCATGTAGGAATGTGAGATAAGGACAGCACCTGGCAGGGATGATTTATGGACACAAATGTTTGATGGCAATGTCCCTGCTCTGTCTCACTGGGATATCTGTCCTGAGTTCTCCTCTGTTCGTTGGTGCAGGGTGGGATTTGATGAACTTCATTCCATGATTCCATGGCCTTCCATGATTCCGTGACCTTCCATGCTGTGTTATCCCAGCTGTGCAGTTCTTCCCTCAGTCGTTGCTTTTGGGGTGGTTTCTGAGCTCTGCCCAGGAGAGAGCTGCAGTTCTGTGTTTCAGACTGAGCACAGAGAGTTTGTGGGGAGAAAGGAGGAACCCTGACTCCTGTAAATCAGCCTGCTGCAGGGGAGGGCTGTGGTGCTCACATAAAGGGTTTGGCTGGTCCTTGCCCTTGTTCAGGCCCCAAATGTGCTGTTTGAAAGAGGATGTGCCCTGAAAACCCCAAATCTCATCAGGTCCCCTCCTGAGGTGCCTCTCTGCCTGCAGCTGAGCTCGTGTGGAGGGAGAAGCTTCTGCCATCAGGAGGTGCCCAGGGAGATTCTTCTGAAGCGTTCTGGCTTTACAACAGGGCACCTTTTCCCCAGATGGGCCCAGTGGGTTTGATTTTAAGGTTTTGCATGTGCTGCCCCATTCATTGCCATCCTACTCCAGCTGGAATGTAAGTGGGTGAAGGAGAGCAGCCTCTGAAAAGCTCCATTCTCTGAGCTCTTAACTCAGCACCAACTGAAAGCTGTCAGACCAAGCCACAGAGCTGGACAAATAACTCAGTGGATGCTTTTACATTGCCTCTTTCCAAATTATTCCAGGATTTCTTGTCTCTTTTCTAGATGTTTTAATGTCAGAGGGCAGGAATTCAGGGATCCTCCTGCTTTGGCTTCAGGGATACAGGAGCAAAACCTGGCTGTGATCATCCTTGACTCCTTCCTCTTTGTGTTTCTGTTTGGAGGGGAGAAAAAAAATCCCAGCAGCCTCCCCCTGAAGCTGCCGAGGTTTTGAGGCTGAGCTCTGGAGCTGCAGTGACTCCAGGGCTGGAGGTTTGATCTCTTAATTCCTGGAGCAGTGGGATAATTAAGACAGGCTCTCTTCATTAGTGCCCACAGCTCTCTGGAGTGCTCCCTGTGCTGGTGCTGTAGAGTAGAGCTCTTGTAGTTTTATTTTTTTTAAAAACCCACCTGGAATGTGTTTTTTTCCACATCTTTGGGCAGTGGGTGCTGTGCTGCTCCTCTGCTCCCACTTTTTCTGCTTGGGGGGTGCTGGCTCCTCTGACAGTCCTGGAGGACTCCTGAGGTTTACCCAAAATAATTCCAGTTGTGCCTGGTGAGCTCTGAGAGGCTTTTTGGGCACCTTTTTTAAGGAAGAGGCAAAGGGTGGGGGGTACAGAGAGGAGCCTGGCCCTCTCCTCAGCAGCCCTTGTCCAAACCCCAATTCCTGAGCAGGAGGAAGCTCAGGGATCAGTGCTGGGGTCCCCTCCAGCCCCAGGACAATGATCCTGGCAGGAATGCACCTGCTTGTGCTTGAAAGGAATTGATTCCTGATAATTGAGATAAGGCTGGGTTATTTTTTTATTTTCCCTCCTTTGCTCCTTGAGGTTTGGGGGGTGAAATTTAGCCTGGTGTACAACAACAACACACCAAGGGGGAAGGGGTAAGAGAAAAGGGGGGATTAGAGGTGTTCCCTCAGCTGCTTTTCCTCTTAATTTCAGTGTTGACCAGGAAATGAGGTGGTTCTTGGGAAGGGCTGAGGGAGAAGACTCCAAGCAGCCCAGCTCATTTTCCATCAGATCCTCTGGAATGGGTCAAAGCCAGATTATTCCTGTGCTGCCTGCAGGAGATGATGGAATTCCCTGCACAGAGGGATGCTGGCTGCTTCCAGCACAGGGAAACGCAGGGAAGGAGCAAAGCAGGGCTCACTCAATGCCCCCTGTCCTTCAGGAGCTCTGGTGCTGCAAAGGGAGGAGCTCAGAGTGCCCAAAATCTGTGGTATTGGCCCTAAAACCAAGGCTGGCTTTAAAACCAAGGCTGGCTTTCAAACTCCTCCTCACGCTGGTTTTAGGTGGGGTTAGATGGTGCAGTGATTGTCTTGCTCCCAGTTTGGGGCAGGTTGAGAGCTTTTGGTGGGTTCTGTTGCTTTTCCAAAGGACCTGCAGAGAGCACAGCTCTCCTGGAGTGGGAAGGACAATGCCTGGCATTCCTGGAGTGATGAGGCAGCTCAGCAGAGAGGTCTCTGAAATGAGCAGGAAATTCCTCCTGTGGCCCAAATATATATAAAAAAAATCCTTTGTGGCTCAAAATGAAAATATTATTTTGATTTTTTTTGTCCAACCCTGCTGTCCCTCTTCACTGGCCAGCCTGGGCTGCTGTGAGCCACCCCCATGGGCTCTCCCCATCCTCCAGAATCCTCTGCTGAGCCTCCCTGGGAAGCCCCTCCAGGGGAGACCCAGCAGGAATAGAGCTCTCTTCTCTAGGCCAGAGAGGGACAATTTATTCCTTTTATTACCCTTTTGTCTATTTTAATTTTAAATGTCCCTATTTGTTTTGGGCTGCTGAAGGAGCAGCTCTTTCAACTGCTGCCCAGCTGGCTTGGGCTCAGCCCGGGGAAGCTTCAGAAGAGCAAAGTGTGGCCTTTGAAGGGCAGGACACGTTCCCTGCCTGCCCTGGCCCCACCTGGCAGCTGGGGAATATCCACGAGCCTGGGGACAGCACAGCTGAGGGCTTGGAGGGTCTCAAACCCCTCAAAAAAACTGTTCCTCTGAGCTGTCTGCAGGATAAGGAGGATTTGGGCAGCCTAAAATCCCAAGAACCAGGCCCAGCTTGTGGCCCTTGGCTTTGCCAGGTCCTTGACTCTCAACAGCCTGAAGGAAGATACACTTTGGTGGCTCTCAACGTGAGGTGACCTTGCAGAGAAATGGATTTCTTTTGGTGCCTGGGAAGCGTGGGGTTGAGATTGCCAGTGCTTTCCACCTTGAAATGTGCTGGGTTTTGTCATTCTGGGTTTCCCAAAGCAGCTGTGGGTCTGGGCAGACTAAACCTGGATGTGTTTGGGGTCAAGGCCACCCGTGTGATGGTGTCACGCTTCCATCAGAAGCTCAGTGTGTCTGCCTTAAAATACTGGATTTTTTTTTCTTTATTCCCCCATCTGCCACTTTGAACTTTTTCCTTTTGAAGTAGGAGACTGTCAAGAAGTTCAAAATCTGTCAAGGCAGAGGAATATTTAATATCTGACCTGTTGGGTGAAGTGCTGAATCATTATGTTCATTTTAACCTTGATTATTCCTGCCATTTCTGCAGTAGTAAAATAGGAGTAAAGTGGCACTAGTCAGTTTGAGTCGAGTAGAAACTGTTTAAAGATGTTTTAAAGATTTTTGTGGCAATTCCTCATAGTCCAACATCCATTTTGCAGCCTGCAGATCCAGCTTGTCCACAGGTCCCACACAAATGGCTTTGCCTTTCTCCCCACTTCCTCCCTCCTGAATATTCCTATCATGGGTTTTCATCCATTTATACAAAAATATGGGAAAAGCTTGATTGGTTTAATCAAAATCCTCGTTGCAGGTGACCCCAGGCAGCCTCCATTTGTGGTGTCACTCCCTGTGGGATTGTGTTTGTGGGGATGAGCAGGACAAGCTCTGTGGGAGAGGCTTCCAGCAGGAATTAAATCAGTTTTTGTACCAGAATCACTAATGCACTTCTGAAATGACTGAGTAATTCTGGGATAAATTCACTTTTATCCCCCAGTAAGGTGTCTCCAGAGAGCTATTACATTTTCTTATAGAAACAAACTTTTCAGCTACTCTGCCACTGATCTCCTGTTTCTTCTCCTGTTGTTTCCTCCCTTCCAGCATTTCCAACTGGCATCTGAAAACCTTTCCTTCCCCTGGGTTATTGTGTTCCCAAAGCTCACTGCCCATTGTCAGACAGCACAGATTAAAAAAGAAAAAACAGCTGGAATTGTGGGATTTTAAATCCTCTTGCCTTTATTTTCTTTCTAGATTCTGGTTGAGTTACAGGAGCTCAAGGGGATAAGTTAAACAAGGCAATAAATAAAATGTTACAGCACGAGGTGGCTGCAAGGTTCTTTTTAGTGGGGTCTTCCCTTGTGGAAAAGGTGGTGCAGCAGGGATTTTGGGGCCAAGAAAGGAGCAGGCAGGGATTTTGGGAGCCAGGGAAGGACCAGGCAGGGATTTTGGGAGCCAAGGAAGGAGCAGGCAGGGATTTTGGGAGCCAGGGAAGGAGCAGGCAGGGATTTGGGGGCCAGGGAAGGACCAAGCAGCACCTTTTTATCCTGCAAGCAATATGAAATGTGCCCTTTGAAGCCCAAAAAATCAGTTTCTGCCCCCAAGTTCCTGGTGGTTTTTCACCTTTAGCTGCTGGCAGAGAGCGCCTTGGCAGTTTCACATTAAAGGACATTTTGGAAGGCCAAGTGTCAGGCAGGCTTGGCTCTGAGGCAGATGCTTTAATTGCAATTAAATGAGTGTCCTCAGGAGTTCATCTGCAACAGAGGAAGAGGAAGGGCTGGAGTGTGGTGGAGGGTTTGTGGGGTTTATTCTCATTAAAAAGCACTTGAGCCATGCAGGGTTTAATCAGGGTGAGCTGAGGGCTGGGTTGGGCTCAGCTCCAGTGGGGCTCAGGAGATGCTCAGGGAGTGTTTTCCCTTTCCAGGAGTGGGTGAGTGGCCATTAAATGAACTTCTTCCAGTGCTTTTTCCTCTTATTTTCTACACCTTTGGCTTCTGAGGCTTTAGGTGCTTTGTCCAGAATGATCCAGCCCAGTAAAGGCTGGAGACAGGTCTTTGAGTTTGTTACTGCAGGTTGGAAAGCAGCCAGGGTGTGAATCAGGGCTGCATTTGGCAAAACATTCCCA